CTAGTGATGGGCAAAAGTTCACTAAAAAGTTGCTAACTTTTTGTTTAACTAAAAAAAATTAGTTAAGGCCATAGTTTAATTTTTTTTTAAAAGTCTAGTTAAACTCCTAGTTTAATTAATTTTTTTTAGTTACAAACTAAAAAGTTTAATTACAAATTTTACAAACTTTTTTAACATACATACCAATAAATATTTAGATCTATGTAATTTGGAGAATATATATAATGAATAATAGGAGGAAAATAAAATAGAAAGCCTTTTGACCTTTACCCTATAATGGACGCTATTCCCGCCAATTCAAGGTATTTGAAAGGCGAGAAAAATAAACGTGTTCATTATATTTCTAGCAATCCTGATAATTCCTTGCTTCTATAGATCTACATTTTGCTGCTTTTTATTAAACACCAGTGTGTTCCTGTATAGCTGCAAAGAATTTTGCTTTACTATAGATCTAAAAGAAATGTCGACTCTTTTTATTTTAAAACTTTTTACTAGATAGATCTAAAGTTAGTCTAGTGACGTCTAGTCTATTAGTATTAGTCTATTACTACTATTAGATCTATTGACATAATAGTCTATATTTAATTATTTTAGTCTTAAGTAGAGTCTAACTCTTAGTAGTCTTAGTCTTAGATCAAAATGTAGATTTAAAATTATAAGTCAATAATATAGATCTAGATCTATTAGTTTAGAAATTCTACTATTCTAGAATTAGAGTCTAGATTTGATCTAGATATATTTAGATTAATTATTAGTTATTAGGCCTATACTAAGACCTAGGATGCATAGATGATAGATCTATAATATTAATGACTATAATAGGCATAGGCCTACTAATAATAGTCGTCACTCGTCACTATACTAGATATAATACTAAATTAACTTAATCTGACTAGATCTACATCTACTTCTATTAACTATTATACTTAATTATATCTACTATCTAGATCTAGTATTATCTACTAGACTGAGTATATAGATCTAAATACCCATATCTAGTTATAATCATGATTATAATAATCTAAAATAGATCTAGAGTTACTAAGATATATCTACTAGACTCTATTTAGATCTAGTAGTAGTAGTATTAACTCTAGTATTTCTTAAATTATTTTTAGATTAAAATATTAATTATTTGATCTAGGTCTAGTAGCTAGATCTAATTCTAGATCCAGATTATATTTCTGATCATTTTGTTTGTAGAAGATATATTAGATCCAAAATATTCTAGAATCTAGAGTTAGTTAGCGAGTCAACATGCAGTTTTTCATTACTTCTAAAAAGGTAACTTATATTAGAACTTGGACAATTACTTCTAATTTCTTTCTATAATAGTATCATTCTAGTGATTCTATTAAGATCTACATCTATCCCATAAGACATTTAAATCTTTTTTCATGTGCACAAATAAATGTTTATTACATTTTGCTAAAGAGATTGGTTGTTATTTATATTTTTCATGTTTGGCTGTTTCGTCCTTAAAAAAGGTCAAAATAGTTAGTAAAAGTTTAACTAAAGTTTCTTAGTTTAGTTTAACTAATTTTTTCAATTTGTGATTAACTAAAAGTTTAATTACTTTTTTTTTAGTTCAAACTTAGTTTTAGTTTAACTAAAAAAAATTAGTTCAGTTTCCATCACTAGTGATGACACTGTTAAAGCCAATTTGTAACCTTTTTCTTGTTTGTGACTTCCACGAAAATGAAAAAAAAAAAAACAACAACGGTTGTATGTGTCGCTCTCTTAGTTGTAAGCTTTCATCATTGCACTTTTGGTAGATGGTCTTTGCAGGGTGTTCCCTCTTACATCCAGCTACACTTTCACAGTTTAATTTCTTGGGCTATGGGTTTTGGGTTGGTTTTCCCCCACAAGTTGACAGTAGTGTTTAGAGAAGGACTTTTCTGACTGGACTTGTGAGTTAATGACCTTCCTTTGGCAATTCAGTGACTTCATACAGCTGGATAGGATGGTGGACTTTAGTAGTATCAGGGTCATGAGTTCGTATGCTGTAAACTCTGGATCTTTGGATGTCTATGAGTCCACCCAGCTCTAATAATGGGTACCTGACATTAGTTTGGGAAAGTATAGTCGGTTAGTCATTGTTCTGACGACATGACACTCTTATTAACTATGGCCACAGAAGCAGATGATCTTTACATCATCTGCCCTATAGATTGCAAGGTCTGAAAGGGGAGCTTTACTTTTAGTAGTATTTTATGTTAGCAGACGTGGCCCTCTCTGTCCTGGTCTAGGCCTCATGCTCAAAAGAATGCTGCAGTGATTTGTCCACTGCTGTCTTAAGTCTGCCATTTATGATTTGTTGTAGGTCTAGTTTGGTAGAATTTAATACTATTGGAATTGCTTGGACTTAATTAAAGTGAAGGAATAATGTTTAGTATGACTTTCTTTTTAATTTTCTAGTTTTGTGTTTTATTTTATGTTGAATAAAATATGTTTTTTTTTGTATTCTAAATTAAATTTGTTTCACTATTTTTATTAGATTAGGTTAGTTTGGGTTAGTTTAGGTTAATTTAGGTTAGTTTTGGTTAGTTAAGTGTAGTCTGGTAGTGACTCTAGCTCTTGGTCTCAGAGGTTCACAAATTAAACCCACCCAGTAGCATACCTTCTTGCTAATGTGTAAATTCTTGTTAGCACAAGACCCTAGACCATGACCTACAGGCCCATGCCTGTTTACATTTAATTTTAAAATGTTTCTTAAAATTAAACATACATTTTTAATTTCATGTTTTCAGGAATCTATTTCAGCACTACCTCCAAATACTCCTTGACATATGCTCACTACTCTAACAAAATGTTTATAGCTAGAGTGCTGTGTGGCTTATCTACAAAAGGCTCATCAGACATATTCCGGCCTCCAAAAGACCCACGAACAGGCCGTATGTATGACTCGTGTGTAAATAACCTAGATAAACCAACCATCTACAGCCTGTTTGATAATGGACAGTGTTATCCTGCCTATGTGGTATCATTTAAGAATTAAGTGCTATAATACTGAAATGGTTCTTCAGCAAGAGATTTTTGTTTTCCAGAATTAAATGTTGAGATTTTTTTTACTGTTTGGTCTAGCTCAGTGGTTTGTTTCACTAGCATTCCTTCCAGGTGGCTCATTGTAGCAATACATATTAGTGCTGGTATGATGCAATAGCATATTAAGTTTCAAAGTAATGTTTATCTTATGTTCAACTGCTATTGATTGTTATTATTATTACTATTGCTTTTGTAAAGTGTTACTTATAGCATGGGCTTTTGCCTAAATTCTTTTGGGGAGGTATCTGCTGTTTATATATCACTTAGTCATACATTCTATTCTATTTTAATGTCTTTAACAAAAATAGCTACAAAAATATTGCTTGAAAAATTGAAGGAAAAAAAATAAATTCAAATATTGTTTCTCTGTGATTTTAATTTTTCCATTTCTCTGATTAAAGTTGTATCAATAAAACAAAAAGAATGTTGTCAAACATAAAATGTCCATAGTCTTTAGTTTGTACCTATTTATTATTAAGTGCTGGATAAAATTTAGTTTTGAATGATGCATCCTGGATGGGAACACACTCTGGTAGCGATAGATGCACCTTAGTTTCAATTTTTTTCTTTTAAATTTTCATGTACATTGGCAGCAATTGTAAATAGATGAGGCTAATTCTCTTTTCATTATAGTTTTATAATCATCCTATTTTTTTCCATAATTTTTACAAGAACTGTTTGTTTTATCCAGTCCAATTGTCACACAATTTAATCCAATTTTGTGTTTTGTTTTGTCTGGTGTTATATTTGTGTGTGTGTGTTTCTAAAATGAATACAACTGGTAAATGCTAATAATAGCTATTGATATCTTAAGGTGAGAATGAAATCACATTTTTTGAAATGATAGTTTTCGACAATTTGAATTTCAAAGTAGTTGATTGATTGTAACATTGACTTGCCTATCACTAATAAGAAATATTAGTCCTCTAAATGAATCATTGTCTTATATTTATTAAATAAATATACTAACAATTGAATTTGGAAATTCGCCAGCGCTCAAGAGAGGACTGTATGAGATGTCAGGCAATTCATTTATCAAGGATATTTAGTCATTCATCTTGTTGCATTTCTTTTTGTAACCTGGTTACAACTTCCTAAACATGACCTTTTTGTTGAATGTTTGAGATTATAACTTGTTACAGTACTCAATATTAATCATTAGTGTAAATAGTACTTTAAAATTTATGGATTGCTTCACATAAATTCTGCATCAGGTCTGTACTTATAATATAAAGTTCCTCTTTCATACCTTATGATCTTTAGGGAAGAGGATGGTAAAGTTGATCTGTTTCTGTGGCCCACGATTAATGAGGGTATCATGTGGCCAGAACAATGACCAGCAGCCTTTACTTTACCTAACTAAAGTCAGGTACCATTTCAGCTGGGTGGACTCAGATGTACCCTACTAGTCCCAAAATTAAAAATCTCAGTCTTCACCTATATTTAAACCCAGGACCTCCTCAGTTCGGAAGCGCTTTACCATTCAGCCACTGTACCTCCATAGTTGAGGAAAGAGAGTACATATATATATATATATCTTACTCATTGAATTCTACTGGTTATTTTGGTACTAGAATGAGTGAAATTTTCTCAAATTGAATTTATATTTTCATTTACCACCTACCTAATCCCATAAAGCAGTATCTTTTTTTTTGGCCAATATAATTTAGTTGTTGAACTGCTGGGTTCACTATGTGACAGGTTTAGTCAGCTCAATCTACTTGAAATCTTCACAAAACTCAGTTCAACTGTGATATGTATCTAAGCCAGACATGAGTTTGCGGTATTTTGTCTCACATGTAGTGTAGAGAATAACGTTGAATGTCAGATTAAGGCTTATTGAAAATATCTCAAAAACTTTTGCTGGTGTGGGGCCTCTTATATCTTTTAATTTGTATACTTCAAGAAAGACAAGTCAGATTCTCTAATGAAATAAATTTGTATACTTCAAGAAAGACAGGTCAGATTCTCTAATTAAATAAATTTGTATACTTCAAGAAAGACAAGTCAGATTCTCTAATTAAATAAATTTGTATACTTCAAGAAAGACAAGTCAGATTCTCTAATGAACTAGTTGGCTAGAAACTTTTTTTTTCTTTGCTTATAAAATTAACATTTTAAACTTTTTTGACTAGCTCTACTTTAGTAGTTATTTTTACACTCACAGGGGATTATTGTTTAAAAAGAAAACTGCAAAGTTTATTCTTTGTTTTTATATTTTATTTAAAACCAAAAAAAATAAAAAATAGATAATTCAAAAAATGCTGGTTATGTTGAATGTTTTAAACTTTTATTGTATACATTAATAAAATCTCATCAAAATGTGTACATTCTTTTTCCTTATGTCATCCAGATCTCAGATATCTTAGAAGCTTGATGCAATTCAACACTATGTACTGTTTTCATATTCATTACAGACGGTCACTCAAAAGAGAGATAATTACTTCCTACGCACATCCATGTTTTTAATATTCATAGCTTGTGCATTAAGATTTAAAAAAAAATAAAGTAACAATAATGAAAAATTCCTTAAAATTTATCTTTTATATCCACCAGGACTTATTCTTTTCCAATCTTAATCTGTATAATCTAGAGCAGGGGGTGGGCAAATTACTTCCCGGGGGCCACATGCAGCCTGCAGATACCCACAGAAATAAGGTGTGCCATATATTATACATATACATTGCAAATATATTTAAATAAATAATTTTGAATATCTATATATATTATTGAAACCTCTGATTCTTATGATGAAGAGGTTAAATGTCATGTCATTCTAAAAAGTTTAAAGTAAACAAAGATAATTCTTAGTGGCAATATTTCAAAACATTCAGTCAAAGACACACAAATCAGGCCAGTATTTATTCTATGCTTTGAAGAACTGTGTTGAAAGTGTTGGCTTGGAAAAAGATGGAGCACGAGCTTTGACATAGTTTTATAGTTTTTGTAATAAGTAAGACAATACTATTATAGTTTTTGTAATAAGTAATACAATACTATTATAGTTTTTGTAATAAGTAAGACAGTACTATTATAGTTTTTGTAATAAGTAAGTACTATTCCAACCATAAACTCTAAACGGAGTAAACGGGAAACTTTGCGCCAAGCTGCATTGAAAATCAAACATATTGTTGATCCAAGTATATCAGTGATCAAACGTATCATAGCTTGGGGTCTTAAGTACAGGCAGTTCTAAAAGTACTTGAAAATTTGGAAACAAAACGTTCCGATGTTCGTTACCATACAATAGTATCCGCTGGCTTAGCATGGGTAATGAATCGAGAAGAATATGGGATATCAAGGAATAAATTGTTATATTCCTTGAAGGACAAACTTTGTTACAAATATTTCTACTGAAGAGTGGAAGACAGACTTCATATTTTTCATCGGAAGTATTGTAATGGATTGCTTGCTCATGAAATGAACCTGCATGTGAAAACTTTTCAACAAAGGCAAGCAAGTGAAAACAGGTTTTGTCATTTTCCTTAGCTGAAAGGTAAAATTATTTCTAGTCAAATGATTGGAAAGTACTCAATTTACTTAGATTCCTTGATTGTGGAATTCGATAGCAAATTTTAAGAACTTGGAACAGGTTTCAACACCCTCAGTTCACCATTTAGTGCAAAAGCGGATTCAGCTTCAGAGGACGAACTTCAAAACAAATTATGACCTGAGAAGTTCCAGTGTTTCCACGGGAATTTTATGGGTACCAGAAGCTGTGTTTCCACACTTCGAAACTGTGATGCTAAACTTTCACATGATTTGGATCCACATAAAATTGTTAAACAAGTTGTTTTTTTTATAGTATGAATAGGTCGATGTTGACTGAGTGTAATTTGACAGCATGCGCAGTTGTCAGGGTTGAGTAAAGCTCGTTTGCCCGGGCCCCTGACATTCAACCAGGCACCTTCGTTCTTGCAATACATAAGTGACTCACTGTTGACAATGTAAATGTTTAATTATATGAATATAAGTTATGATGACAAACTGATGGAGTAATGACATTGAATTTGGAACATTCTAATATTGTGGATCTATTAATTAAACAATAATTCTACAGCTTGCTGTCCCACAACGTACACATTAATGTTCAAAGCCACAACACAACACACTGCTGTCTCTAGTCCCCAGCGTAGACTTCCAGTCCCATACTAACTACCTGTAAAGACAAAAGTAAAGACAAACTAAAAAGGTCTAGTATACTATCACTATGGCATCGAAACAACTGCAAAACGCAGTTATCCCTTAGATACTCACCCTAAACAGGGGAACAGAAGAATCTCAACAAACGTTACACCAGCATAACAAAACCACTCCCTAAACTTACAAGCAAGGCAACGAAAAAAATTGGCTGCCTGGTCGTGCGGTTTGCGCGCTGGCCTGTCGTTCGGATTTGTCGAGGATTCAAACCCTGCCCGCTCCCATCCCCCGTCGTCCTGCGGGAGGTTTGGACTAGGAAGTAAACTATCTTCAACTCTGAAGGAACATCCGAAATATGTAAAACATTTTATAAGTGCGTTCAAAAATTGTGCACTTAATAAACATTGGTGCTATAATACTATAACTTACGCACTGACAGCAGTCACAAGGATAAAAACTAGTAAACTAGTTCCAATGTCCGGAACATTATATGCATTGTAATCAGTTAAATACTTCACACTAGGTACAACTACACAACTGAAATGTGATGTAAAATAGACAATAACGAAATTCAAACAAATATTCGTAAAATTAGTTTTCAGAAACTGCTAACACTTGTAATTCCTTAATCGGAGTGTAAAAAAATAAAATGTCAATTAAAAGACATTATACAAAGTTAGCTACCATATTTTTTTAAGTTGTAAGTACACATTATATATAGATAAAAAAAGGTTGCCCACCCCTGAACTAGAGTAATTCCAAAATAAGTGAAGTAATAAGACTTTTAATAATTATTCTAATGCAACTACACTATCTGAAGTATTATAAACTCACTCTGGTACACTTTCTGTACAATTTCTCCCAGACACATTCTCTGATAAAGTTAAAACTTTACACATAATACAAAAACTAACAAATGTATTAATTAATTATTGGTATTAAAATATTTTGTTTGGTATGGAAAAAGTTCAATAAATACCCTTTTTAATTTATCTTTTTATCTTATACTAGTCGACCGGCCACGTAGCATACGCCGCTTTTTTGCAGGGCCGGCCTTAGACCACTGCAACCTATGCAACCGCAGTGGGCCCCACACTTTCATAGTATCCGCGCTAATTCAAGGTGTATAAATTATTAAATTAAACCATTTTATATTTTTGGTCCACCTGTGGTCGATTTAGATTTTCTTTTAGTCTCAAAAGTATCCTGTGGCCTTATTGTATGCTATCATATATTTCACGCGTTGTTGCTCAATAATAATAGTACTTGAGACTAATTGTTTTGCTTATTAAAAGTCATCATATATATACTTCACACCTTAAAACTGGTAATGTCAGTTCTGGAAATAGTCAATTTTCTCAAAGAGTTTCTTTTAAATTATGACGTAACATAATCTACAAAGCAGTCTATTAGTTGATCAATATTAATTGATAGTTAAAAGACAGATTTAGTCAGGTCAATCTTATTTTTGCTTGAAATCCTCTCATAACTCAGTTTATACAGTGATGTGTATCTAAGCTAGAAATGAGCATATTGAATAATTTTACATTTGTTTTAGGCTTATTGAAAATGTTGTCACTAATTTTAGCAAGTGCCAGCAGCCCATGTAAATGATATCAAAGTGCCTCTTAAATCATATAATGTGAATATTCTGAGAAAGTCATAATTAAAATTTAACTTGGACTGCATAATAATTTAATGTTTTGCTCTGAATGTTTATAACGGATATTATGTTCATTTTGCTGTTCATGCTCGTTCAAGCAACTCTTAGCTTAAACTTGGAAGACAACTGAATAAGCCAGGGTTTTATTTTTCTCTATTGACATATACTTTATCATTTTATTTAATTACGTGAAGCAACACCACTTTAGTTACCGGTATATTTTAAATAGAAAACTGCAAATATTGAATTTTGTTTACATCATATTTTTAAAAAAATATATTTTTCAAAAGGAAAATAAAATTTTTTAAAAAGTCATATTTAATGTTTTAAACTTTTTTTTTTCATACATTAAACATTACAAAAATACACAAATGTACATTCTTTTTCATTACATAATAAGTCTGTTGCAATACAGTAATAGAAACATTAGAAATAGGACAATATTTTTATCAAACACAACTAGTGCAGTGTAATTTAATATTTATTTCAAATACAGTGGAATCTAGATAATTCAAATTAGCAGAAACCAAAATTTTGGCTTCATTTCAATTCACTTTATAGTTGTTCTTTTTTTTTTTTTTGACTCCTACAATATACCTGTCCTTACCTATCTACTTCTAGCATCACATTATATATGTGTGTGCATGATGGTACATAGAATGTTTCTTCATGTATAGACGCTAATGACCCATTATGTGTACGAGTGCCCAGCGAAGGACAAAGGCTTACTGAGATGTCTCCAATCCCAGCACTCTCAAAGTCACACACACCAGACAATATGTGCTGATTTGTAATTATTACTTGCTATATCAATATCATCTAAGTTCAAAACAGAATGTATTATCAATTTTTTAAATTTCATATTATTGGAAGAAAAAATACAAATGAAATGCAAATGATGTTTGGAAAAAAAACCCACATCCCCTAGAAAGCTATTTCAGAACATTTTGTCAAAGTCAATCGCAAAATATGAAATACGGTACCTTAACATTTAACGACTTTATTAACATGGAAGTATTTTGTAGAATATTAATATTATTCAGTTGTTTTTCTTGTTGAAGTGTAAATAAAACCCAGATTACTTAGAGGACCCAATGTTGCCTACTTCTTAAGAGGATTGTGCAGTAGTTATAAAATCACATTATCAAATAACTTATTTTTACATTTGCAACAAACATTACAAAATAATAGATCTATGTGTTTAAGATTTTGAATGCGATAAACAGTCAAGATGAAGGGAAGAGAATGGTAAGTATATTGTTCAAAGTTGACTTCTCTCTGGAAGCTGCACCACTACTTTACCAATATTCCGTCTTGAATACATGTACTGCAGAAAACAGAAGAGTGATATAAAATTATTTAAAATACTGCCTGAATAAAATACTAAAAATTAATGTTTTTTTTTAAAAGGTTTTAAAACAAATTTAGTTTACAGAGCATATCAAATATAGGCCTTTTCCCTTTATATTAACAATACAGATACAGGGCTCTTCATTGAAATGGAAAATTCTCTATGAGATGAGAGATGAATAATAATTGTTATGAACTATAATTGCCCTACCACTGAAGGAAGCCAGCTACAACAGATGCTTTATTAGCGAAAGACTATTTCTGTATAAATGCAGAAAAAACAAAAACAAATTACATCATTAAATGAGCATTAAGACCTAGCCTTTCATTGGAGAGACAGGCTCATGTGACCTGGTT